AACACTCGCCCCTCTCTTCCCCCCTTTTTTAACGTCTTCAATTGGTTGTAATGTGCTCCTATCTCGTCAAGCTCCCCCTGTGTTCACTTTCCGTGTTTTTCTGTCTTTTACTCATACCATACTCTTCTCGGCATTATAATCATGTGACCTGTGTAACTCGCACAAATACTGTGATTATTTGTGTGGCGAAAATAACATTGTACAGGTTCAACTCCCCTTGCAAACTAAAGTTTTGTTGTTGGTTGTTGTTTTTTTGGATGTATTAAGAGGCAGTCTCCGAATTCAACGTAGATCTTCAAGTTTACAGAGCCAAATGAAAAAATAAATCGTCTTTAAAGAAAATGTCTTTCCCAAGGACACATCGTAGGACCAGGCTGAGCCTCATACTGAAACCCCAGAACCCGTAATCTCACGATTACGAGTCTGATAGCAAACTAGGCTATCGACGCTATAACGCTATTATGTACATAATATTTCTACACGGTGAAAAATTGTGCGGCAGTTGCAATGCTTCTCTATTAATATTATTCAATTAATAATGCTATCTTCAACAAAGCATTATTGAACCACTTCGACGTATCTCCTTATCGTAGGCCTACATAATATTAGGGGTTCAAAATGGCGCAAGACACTGGTACCAAAGATTCTCCACAATCTTTGCTAGCGCAGGTGATTCCTGTGTTTTCCTAGGACTAGAATTCGACTATCGCAGTGTTTATTGGTAAACAAACGGATAACCCCGAGTCGCTCGTTCTTCGATGTGAAGTGTGAATATGGGTCATGAACAATGCTTATAACCATGCGTCCTGGGCTAAAAATAATGCTTTCACATTGTTTGTCTTCTGGGCTTGGCGACTATGTTAAGATTTGATAACATATTTATAAGGTTACCAAGCATGAGAATATTAACGGTTTTCTTTAAAGAAAAAATTCCTTGACGCTCCCCCCGTCCAAATCCAAGACAGAGCTTGTCTTTGACGACTGTACGCCAATAAACACTGTGGAAAACTGAAGTTGCTTTCCTGTGAGTTAAGCTTTAACTTTGAATAAATGGATTGGCTACAAACTATAGATCTAGGCCTATCGGCGACATGACGCCTTTGATCATTGCCCCGTGTGACGCTCCAGCGACTATACCTCCAGAGCCTCATTGAACTTTAAAGAATAATGGGAACTTCTACACGGCTATTGTTTCTTTAATCCTTTATACGACTCTATACAACCAACTCTATTGATTTTAAATATTTCTTGTACTGTGCTGCCATGTCTGTTGGGACTACTCCATGATAGAGCGGTACCGTTTCGTTCGTCTCGGGGGCGTTGTTACAATACAATAATGAGTCTCTTCCAGGTCTGAGGGGCGAATATAATGGACGGCTGGAAATGAAAGAAGTGTCGTTAAGTAGGCTACGGGCGGTAGATTCTTTCTGGTTCTAAACTCGAGGGAATCTATAACTTCCTTGTTGTTCAGTCCAAATTAGCACCTGTAGTATTGTGTGTGTGTGTGTGTGTGTGTGTGTGTGTGTATGTGTGTGTGTGTGTTTTGTTTTTGTTTGTTTGTTTTGTTGGGGGGGGGGTAGGCTGGAATTTTTATTTTAAAAATTTGAGGGGGGGGGGTGAATGAAATCCTTGCTGTATAAGTCAGCATTACTGCCTAAGCCCCATACGTCTAGTAAAGGTACCACGGTGTATCTAAGTGTAATGGTATGGCACATGGCTATCTAAGTATCTTTGAAGACCTACAATGCCCGATTTTTTAAGTGTATATTTCTTTTAATCAAGTTTAAAATATTGTGTCATGGCAGAGTGTGGACTTTTCCCCTCCTTCCCTGCCTTTTTTAAGAATTAGATGTTTTCACTTCTCCTTCGACATAATTTAGCTTTAGTTAGGAGGCTGGCGTCAGACCCTGCTTGTCAGGGCCAACTCGGGCTGAGAAAGATGCAATTACCCAGTATTAATACTGTAATGTTTGTCTACACACACGACAGTAAAACTGGAGACGAACACACACGACAGCAAGCATTCTAAATATATATTGAGACCGGGTGTAGTGTCTGACTTTTTATAGATCCCCGAAGTGAGTAACATTAACCAAGAGCCCATGGCATACAGGGCGCTTACGTCCCGTGAGTAAAAAAGAGTAAGGTACAATACGGTGACTACCGTGACAAATACTGAGACACTCAATAAAAGTTATGTCCTCGCCACTCAGGTATCGAACTCGGGACTCCTACATGCGACTGCGAAGTGCCTAACCACTACACCACAGACGCCAGTTTCCTTGCTTTTAGCTGCACCTTGTTTTGACATTGGTTTGCTTTTGATTATGCTTACCGGTATCTGATTCAACAAATTAGTTCAGAGATGACCCCGTGACCCTAGTTTGAGAGCACTGAGCCAATACGTGTACTTGTACATGCATAAGGGGATAGGGAGCGATAGAGAGAGGTAGAGAGAGAGAGAGAGAGAGAGAGAGAGAGAGAGAGAGAGAGAGAGAGAGAGAGAGAGAGAAAGAGAGAGAGAATGTGTGTGTGTGTGAGAGAGAGAGAGAGAGAGAGATGGGGGGGGGGAGAGTGTGTGTGTGGTATGAGAGAGAGAGAGAAAGAGAAAGAGAGAGAGAGAGAGAGAGAGAGAGAGAGAGAGAGAGAGAGAGAGAGAGAGAGAGAGAGAGAGAGAGAGAGAGAGAGAGAGAGAGAGAGAGATGCAAGAAGCCCGCCATTTAATAAACTTCGTGATTATGTCGATGTGGGTGTTAAACATGCAGTCGATTATGATGTAACACTTCTGTAAGACAGACAGACGGACGGACTCCATACCAAAACACATTTGATGCGATGCATACATCATACAGAAGTACAGTCAAACCACGTTGTAGTGACAATACCACCTACCTTGGGACAAGCATGAAGTTGGCGGTACACGGAGTTGGCGGTATACCGGGGTGACAGCGATTGCCGTCTTGACTAGAAGTAGACTGGTAGAGAGAAGAGACAAATAGTAGCCAGTCTTGTCTCATATCATAGATTTATACTATTAGTAGTTAAAAAGGATATAACTCTGTGCTTCATAGATCTGTGTTGCGCGATTGCCATGGGCAGGAGGGAAACGAGCAGCAACTAAATACGCTATTACACGTCCATGACGTGCAGCTTCAGCAGAACTTTAATGTATATTCAAACTGAAATATGTGTCAAGGGACCTGTGGACGTAGGGTTTACTTTTAATCTTTTGATCTCGTCTGTCCTCGGGCCACCCGACCTTTAACGTACACTTAATCGTGAGTCCTCACACATGTTATAAAAGCCTCACGGGTGCACGCCAGCCTTTTGGTTATCGGGCGATCTGGCGACGGACCTTGATAATAGTGACATCATAACTCTACACACAAGCAGAAAGTTAGATCCTGATTTCGACCCCTTTTGTAATCGAATATTTTAAATAATGGCAGTACTGTAGTAGTAGTAGTAGGGTATTGAGACTGGTAAATGGCCACTTGTCATATTATGAACGCCAGATTCTGAAGATTAGACGTGTTACAAGGGAGTAACAAACATAAAAAAGAAGAAGGGGAGATAAGGACAAGAGATGTTTGATAGGAAAGAAGGAGCAAACCACACCAGAGCACCCGCCAACAACCCACAGGCACAGAGTTCCCCAAGTCGTATGGACATGATAGTAAGTATAACACGACGTATCGATAGGGTTAATGTAGGTGTTTTAAACCCCTTTGGACACAATTTTAGACCATTTAGTAGGTGGGCTTCTCAATCCTGCAAGGACTACTGAGAGGAATACATCCCAGCAGAAAGACGGGAGATACATGTACCTACATAGTACAAGATTATAAATTCTCCCCAGGAGAATTGCACTAAGGTCTTCTGCTTGCAAGGACAAAGTGCTTTCTTACTTTCCACTATACCACAGACGGCACATACGTTCAGTTCAGGTGGAGCCGTTGCTAAAGGCAGTGACAAATGACGACATAAAGCCCCATTGTACTGCCAACTTCATGCTTGTCCCAAGATTAGCGGTGCATAAAGGGTTTGACTGGAGTTGAATAGTTTCGTTTTAGTTTTAGTAAGAGTTTGAATGCACTTGCAACACAATAAGGCAGGTCATATAAGTGCCAAAGATTAGAGGTGTATTTTATAAGCAAGTAACAACAAACACAAAAAAGGAGAACAGACGATTAATACTGATAGGAAAGAAGCAGCAAACCACATGAGAGCATCCGCCAACCACTCACTTGAATACAGTACTTAAGGAGAACAAAGATATGACAGTTCAATAAAAATCGACCCAAACTGAATTTATTAAGCTATGATGAAACAATAGGTTTTATCATAATATTTCCAAACATTCAACATGCCTTCTAAAACAACAAAGTTTCTCAAACACAGGTCCAAAGATTTGATTTCCATGCATTCTTGTGGTGAAAAACAGACAGGGTCTTTTGAGCTTCTAGTCTGAGAGGCCCATATTGAATGAATTTTCATATTTAATATCTACAAATTATATATATATGAAAGTCGTAAAGCTTAAAGCATGGGGATTCTGATTATATTAAAATTTTCAGCAGGGGATGATTATGTCATCCAAAAAAGTAGGTCAAGTACTTTGAGGTATATGTACCTATATATATATATATATATATATATATATATATATATATATATATATATATATATATATTATGTGTGTGTGTGTGTGTGTGATGCAGTGTGGTGGAATCAGGCTCTTGCCAATTTTTGGGCATGTAGAGTTATTGGCATCATCTTAAAGCTTCTTCACTTGTCTTTATTTGGATGAACAAAAATATCCATTTATCTTGAATACAAGTCGAGATATTTGCGAATGAAGGAGGTGGGGTTACCTGTTTTCAGAGGTAAAATTAGTGAGAAAATGGCCGCCAAAGATTAGTTATTTCCTTGGCTTAAGAGTCCGTGGTACAGAAAATTTACATTTTTTGTGCCTTTAATCAAGGCATGAAAGGTGCAAAGCCAAAAAAACAAAAATTTGATAAAAATTCACAAACCTGCAGAAAAATGCAAGTTTCTTCACTTTGATTATTTTGACAAGAGCCTGATTCCACATATATATATATACACAAATATGCACAAACCACATGAATACTGCACGGTAAATGAACAACAGACACTGCAATACATTATTTTCATACACAATTTTATTGAAATAAACAAAGGGAGGTAATTTTTGGGATTAAAAAAAAAGAGACAAATAACAACAAAATACAAAAACAAAGAGAATCAAATTTTAAAATAAAAATTGGCCCCTGTGATCAATTTCATAGTCAAAGTCGAAAGAGGTAGGCACAGTCCAGGAATAAAATTCTGGAGGTTCCTCCCTTACCAATCCTGTATCATCTGCCTGTCCATGAGCGTATCGGGTCCCAATCTTCTGCAGGAACCGAACTGAGAAAGCGACCCCAGTGACTTCAAGAATTTGTACAGGTAAAGCAACGAGGTGGATTTCACAGTGAGGACCCCTGTTTGTTTCAGGATTCTGAACATTATCAAAGGGTTATTGTATTATACCGGTAAGGTCTTTCAAAGAGGAATGTAAAATGTTTGAGAGACAGCAAAGGCTGGTGAAAAAAGTAAGGTTACCTTACCTTGAAGCAAGCTACATAATCCATGAATATTACCACATTTAGTAAAACGAATTGAGCGGCCATAAAAATCGTTGTAATGTACACTTTTTATAAATGATCCCCCCCCCAGCAAATAAACAATAGAAAAAAGACATTTTAAAAAGGGGGTGGGGGGAAGAAAAAGAAAAAATCAAGAGAAAAAATGTCTGCCACTGTTCTTAATTCTGGGTGGGGGAAGAAGGACTGCCACCACTTCCTCCTGGTGCATCACACACACTTCTTGCTGTGCAGGAAAGAAGAAGGGACTTCTTGCCTCCTCATGAAAGACATCAACAATTCACTTTCCTCTTGCGGCTCGAGGTGGAATTACCTGCAAATTTTTTCCCCAGACGAAATTAACATTAACAAAAAAAAGGAGTGGGGATGGTATATTGACATGATCTAAATCTAAAATATAGAAACACTTTTATGAAATTCTTTTAAAAACCTTTATGAGCCTGTACCCAAACCTGTCACCACTAAACACATTAGGGAGATCAAATTTTTAAAAACTTATTTTCAGGTCCAATACCATGAATATGTAGGTAGATTCTAATTGATGTTATTTTTATTATAACCACTTACAATTACAGCAGCAAAATAATTATTTTGGGAGAAATTTGGATGTTTGATGACCACTTTGGGATTCTGATGTTCATTATAATATAAAACTATGATTACAAAAAATCTCCACCAGTTACTATTCAAATCACACCAACTCTTTAATAAAATTGGAATCTCCACTACTTTTCAGAAATTAAAAATTCCCATTGGATTACATTGTATACAATATTCGATGCAATGTGTCATGATAGTTACAAGGGTCGGATGGCCAGGTCAAAACCGAACAGTTCTCTTTTATAACCTTTCTTTTGAAGCAAGACTGTTGGTTATATAATTATGATGTCTGTGTATGTTAAGTTGCATGCTGGCCTAAAAAGATAATTTGGACAATATAATTAGGTGAATTATCAAATAAGTGTCATTTTCTTTCGTGCAAAACATCTATGAAGACAAAATTTAGATGCATCATTTATAATCATAATTATCATTGATCACATTGAAATAAAATGTACTAACAGTTTTTAGAAAGTTTCAATAAATAATCTTAATTCATGAAAATAGAAGGAAACACCAGATAAGCTCAATTGGCCATGCCTCTGAATCCTGAAATATCTAAATCCTGTGGAGCATAATATAAGCACGGTGACATTTTTTGTCATCATAATTATGAGAGCAAGTCTGGTTCCAAAATGGTAGTACATGTATCATGTACTCATTCCTATGAATAAAAAACAACTGATCTTAAAAGTTCAATAAAAAATTTAAAAGCCTTTTCTAACCTGCGTCACATGATGACAAAGCTACCACCAAAGTTACACATTTGCATCATCTCATGCCACCTCATCATGATGTGTGTGATATACAATTATAACTACAACAAACAATCAAAAACACCATATTTGAGATTTTAAAAATATATCCAGTACTAATAATGAATAGTCCTGTTGTGAGTAATTTCAAAGGAAAATGATGCTCGTAAAGTAACTAGCTTTGAGGGCCACATATTTTTTCCCATTATAGTTGAACACACCACCGCTGTACAATTAGTGTACGATCGCCGTTTGCAACTTGACAAGACAGACATGAGAGTAAAATGACAAATGTATGTATATTGTATAATATATGATGTAAATCCTATTACTTGCACTGGGCACTTGATCTACTGCAGCACAGACCTTTTTGTTCTTTTTCCCCGCCAGTGGTAACTGTTCGTTTATGAAATACATGAATTTACTTTGTAAAGCGCATAGAGAGAGCATGCTGTAGAGCATGGTGTGAACTAAATAAATGCAATTATAAAATTATTATTATCATTAGGCTAATAATGAACAATATAATAAATATATAGCATTTGTATAGATAGCGCATCCCCGCTCAACAGCAGGCTCTATGCGCTTTACACTATATTATTACCCCAGCAGACCATAGAACACTCTGAAACATTCTCGGCTTCCAGGAAGCATACAGTGCAAACAGCTGATTAAGCGCACAATTGTAAACACTAACAAACTGAAAAGATCTTTCGCTGTCTATAGCCGGATACCCATTCCCACCAGGGTGAAGTGAGGAAAATTCGTGTAAAGTGCCTTTCCCAAGGACACAACGTCGGGCCCCTGACGGGATTCGAACCCACGACCTTACGGTTGCAAGTCCGAGAGCCTACCCCCAAGGCCACCAACGCTAAATGTGCATTTCAAAGGATGTCTTGCCTCCATACTATTACAAAAAGAAAGATTAAAAAAGGAAGAGGAGAAAATATTACCAGTGGAAAAGAAAGAAGAAATAACTGATAAATTGGTAGTGGGTAATTTGTCATCAGCAACCTGGCATTAAAATGTACGACGCCCAAAAGGCAAAATTTTACAGGAGAGAGAGAAAAAATTCAGGAGATCAATGAGGGATGTTAGAGTTTACAGGGGTGCAGATGTAGCTTCGGACCATCATTTGCTCATTTCAACCATCCGACTAAAACTAAAGCGAAGACAGGGAATTGTCAATAATCATAGGTACCGGTACAACGTGGAATTTCTGAGAGAGCCATCATCAAGAGAGGAGTTTAATGTAGCAGTTAAGAACAGGTTCCAAGTGTTGGAAACACTAGGCGAGGATAGCAGCGTGGAAGAAACATGGGAGGCAATAAAAGAAGGCTGGACCACGGTGTGTCAAGAGGTACTGGGGAAACGGAAACGTGAGCACAAGCCTTGGATATCGGTCACCACTTTGAGGAAGATAGAAGAAAGGAAAAAGAAAAAGGATCAGGTAAACAGGAGCAAGACAAGAGCAGCCAAAGCAAAGGCCCAAGAAGAATACACCAATGCATAGAAGGAGGTAAAAGTTAGCCTACGGAAAGACAAAAGAAACTATGTAGATGACCTAGCGCGCGAGGCAGAGGAAGCAGCAGTTCTCAAGGTGGATATCGACACTGCGGCAGGGATTCTCCATGGAATTATTGGCAAGATATGGGACAGCGAAGAATTTCCACAGGATTGGAGAGAGGGATTGCTCGTGAAACTACCCAAGAAAGGAGACCTGCATGAGTGTAAAAACTACAGAGGAATCATGCTCCTTTCCATTCCGGGGAAGATTTTAAGTCGTACCATACTGGAAAGACTGAAGGAAGCCGTGGATGCAAAACTAAGAGAGGAGCAGGCAGGATTTCGTAAAAAGAGATCATGAGATCAGATTGCAACTTTGAGGATAATAGTGGAGCAGTCCACCGAGTGGAACTCTTCCCTGTACGTTAACTTTGTTGACTACTTTGTTGACTACGAGAAAGCTTTTGACAGCCTAGATAGGGACTCAATATATGGAAGCTCATGCGCCACTACGGAATACCTGACAAGTTCGTGAGGTTGATCAAGAAAATGTATGAGGGAATGAGTTGCAGTGTCTTACTTGAAGGGCAGCGAACAGACTCGTTTGAAGTGAATACAGGAGTGAGACAGGGATGCCTGCTATCGCCTTTTCTCTTTTTATTAGCAGTGGATTGGATAATGAAACAGACAACATCGGGACAACGCAGTGGCATACAGTGGACCCTTTCCAGTCAGCTGGAAGACTTGGACTTTGCCGACGACTTGGCACTTCTTTCCCACAGTCGAGCCCAGATGCAACAGAAAACAGATCGCCTCAGGACCTTCTCCCGTAGTGTTGGACTCCATATTCGCAGGGATAAAACGAAAGTTCTACGAATGAATTCAGCCGATGTTCCTATCACACTGCAAGGGGCACCATTGGCGGATGCTGAATCCTTCCTCTACCTGGGAAGTGTCATCAACAAGGCAGGGGGAACAGACGAACACATCAACGTCAGAATCCAAAAGGCAAGAGCAGCATTCATCATTCTCAACACAGCTGACTCACTGAGGTCAAGAAACTCCACTTCACCTGTAGCAGAAGCCATTGCAATGCAAACAAAAACGATCAAGCAAAGCAAATAACGATCAAACAAGCCTCAAAAGGCAACAGAATCAACAACAGCAAGTAGCAAAGCGGGACGCTTGTGTACACAAAGCAGGCAGATGCTCGAATGGGCAGCGTCACTTAATCGATCGATTGCTGGGCAGAGGGACATGCTATGAATTCGAAATAACTTGAAAACTCATCGGTCCCTATATTTATAATTCTGACCTGCTATTTTCTAGATCGTTTACCGTATAAGGAACACCAAAATTTTTTTAATAAAAAAAGGTCAGGGTCAATGCTCTTTATGTAGGGCCAGAACCCTTCCAGGTCCAATTAATATGTCAACCTTATGAAAAGGGCAGTCGCGCATTCCAGGTTGCCACACCCATGTCCTATTTATGAGGCTGTAGCGCTTCCAGGGATAATGTTTTGCTAGTGAGAAACAAGAAAATAATTAACTTTTGGTGGATGGGTCATTGAAGATTTGGGGATAGTCGAGTAAAATTTCTTATCCTCAAGTACCTGAGTCATTGCACCATCAGCTCTCCCTCCAAAGATTAAATCACTCTTTTTCTCGTTGACTTCCAGGTTTTGAAGGGCAGTGCCAAAGCTGAAATGAATCGATATAAAAGATCATTGCAATTCATAGAAACATCCTATTATTCTATTCTTTATTTTTTTCAAAATAGCCAAGAGAATCACTACTAGTAAATGTGCAAAGTGCAATGGGTGTAAGAGAAGAAAAGGTATTTAAAATGTATTACTATTATCAACCTTTTATCAAATTTTCTACTCCTTTTGATTACCAGTGTGGGCTGTTTAATCATTGGATTTAACTGTGTAAATAAGTACTCAGAAGACTGGAAAGGAGGGAGGAGGTACCGTCTTCTCTATCACATACCAATCTGATGTCTTGGCAGGCTACATGAAGTGTCTGCAGAGCAACCACATAAACGTTTCCAGTTTCCAAGGTAAAACAACTGTAATGCATGGCTCTATTTCATGCCACCACTATTGTAAAAAGTGGCTAAGAGATGAAAATAACTAAATATTGTTCATAGTGATGCAAATGAAACGTTACAATCACAACTACCTGATATGGTTCAGTACTCTTCACCAGTCTATGAACACCGGTCTTAATACAGTTAAACACATAGTCGCTATATTTATAACAAATGAGAAATCTCATCACCTGATTATGTTCGTGTTTTGCAGGTCCTGTAGTTTCAAACTCTGATTTATCCGTTGAAGGGTCTCCATTTGACCTCATCATCTTACAAATTGTGAATGCTTTCACTATCAGATTCCATCTTACAGATTTCAGGCAGTTTTAATGACCAAGTTTGAAATGGTGTGGATGCCAAAAGAACCAAAATGGCGAAAGGGCCAAAGAATGAAAAAAAAATGGCTTTGTAAAGGCTTAATGCAAGCTCTGATTTTTCTCAAATTAGAACCAAATTGCTTAATAAGAGTCAATATCTTTATAAAAGTTTTTCTACCCCTCAGGACCTTTTTAGCTCCCCCAAACCATTAAATTCAAATGATCCAAATAAAAGGGAAAGAAGTGATGAGTATTGATAAAAACATTAAAATGTCAATGTGACTACAACTTTGGGAAGGATGTAAACAAACAAATATATTCACACTTTGAATCAATTTTAGTGAATTTTCAAAAAAATCAAGGTAAGTTTTAAAATATGAAAGTGTCATGAACTTATTTTTAAAAGCATTCTTAAACTCATCAGCTTTCATGGCTGTGTATGACACAGCATAATCCTCCTATCTTCTGAATCCTGAGTGAAGGGGTGCAGATGTGTAAATTCCATACCATAATATATCAACTCCAAGCCAGTTTAGGGGGCACTATCATGACAAGCACTCTATATAAAAGAAGATTATTCGTTCCAGTGAGAGTACTGACAGCTGTCTAAACTTTACTGCAGGCTATATTTCCAATTTGCGAGTCTACCATAGAACTCCCATTTGGAAATAGGTAATTTGGCAAGTCTTAGACTAGAACATAAACACAGTAAAAATAGCAAAGAACACAAATGAACTCCTCTAGGCAAGTAAGAACAAAGAATTGGTTCCTCGGATTCTTTCTCCGCCTATGTACTTGCTCTTACTTAAATTTAAAATCTTGAATATAACATATATATATATATATATATATATATATATATATATATATATATATATATACTTAATTTGGAACTTCAGCCAATATATAAATATCAAATTTACGTCATGTCCTATTCTGAATAGTAATTTCAATTGTCTTCAATATTCCTAAAAAAATGTCTATGTAAAAAATCTCCCACAGTTGAGAGGGGACAGTGAACAACTTATTGTCCGTCCAAACTGTTATTTCTTTTCCTGCTTTTCAGCCTCTATTTCTGAGACAATAAAACGCCTGGCAGTCCATGGGACTCTATAAATCACCAAAAGCAGTTAAGTAGGAGTGGGCAGGAAGAATTGAAAAAGGAAATAATCTATTTACACATCATGCTTACTACTTGCCAAGCAATATTGTATGGGTTGAAATTACAAGGCCGTTTGTCCATCCCTTATGTTCAAGCTTCTGAAGTTTTGTAGCAAATAGTAGATTGCATTCTGCGTATTGATCTCGTGAATGAACTGGGGAAACAACAATTTATCCAGAAAGGGATGTGCCGTTGAACATGATACAAAAACATTACTTAAAATGTACATGCAGCTGAAGCAGGTCTCCAAGAGAAAAGAGCAAAGTTATATAATAAGACCATGAAACAGATTGTGAATACAGGAAGGACACATAAGATGTGAATTTATGATTATTGTCATTACAAGATGAATTACCAAAACAGTAAAAGAATTGACAATGGTTCATGAAGGCTTCAGGCAAGCAAATGTAAAGCAGCAACGAATATTTAAGAGAGACGGGAACTAAAAAAACCCAACACATATGTAGACAAAAATTACTCCTAATTCTAGAGTATACAATCAATTCCATGAAAAAATCACCAGACTTTCAGAATCAAAGACCTGGGGATTGCTCTTTCAGGAGGTAAAATTTAATGTACACTGCTGCTTTAGTCGGAACACTTAAAAAACGAAAAATAAGAGCAGCTTGGTTGTTTTATCCCCTGTCTTACCAAGCCTATCCCCATGCTCAGATCAAAAGACCCATCGAACCATTTTGCCTAATTAAGGTGAACAGTATTATATAAAAATACAAAAACCAATAAATAAAGTATAAAGTAGCATAAAGTAGCAATCTAATAAAAAGGACAAGATGTATTGAATACATCAAAGGAAAAAATGAATGCTTTAAAAAAAAACAAGTCTTTAATGAAAAAAAAAAAACTTCCGTGGAAAACATGAGAGTATGAGATTAAAAATACATCATGAAAGTATCTTCTTACCTATGAAGAAGCTACGGCACGGTCAGAAAAGGTGATGTTTCTCTGTGGTAGACCTTGCCTGTCTATGACACCAATAGTACTAATTCTCTTTGTCGAGCGTCCAAGGACATCTCAGTGAACTGGTAGGAGCTCTGCACAGTATGTAATCTTGCAGACATCACTTAACAAGAAAAACCAGGCAGGATGTACTTGTCACATACTTCACTTCAGCAACAACAACAAAATGTGTGTCAGTGTTGTACTTCCCCAGCAGTTCTCTGTTGACAGAAATGGCACAGTGGACTTTTTCAGCATTCAAGTAAAACAAAATCAGTCACAGAAAGTAAATTTTACAGAGCTAGTTCAGTGTTGAAGTAGTAAAGTGCATAAAATTTATTTCATGCTATTTTCAGATCCGAGGGAGGATCAACTTTTTCCCATCTTTCCTGGATGTTGTTTTTATAATAAAACCCCTGCACTCAAGGTACAAACAGCAAAGAATCATCTCAGTACCAAAACCCTTAGTACTCTACAAAGGAGTATTTAAACTTGATTAATCTCTGGATTTTGAAACAACTTGAGGAGTCTACACATAAAAAATTATGGAAGGGTGCCTTGCTTGGAAACTTGTTCTCAGCCTAGATTTTCCCTCAACGAGAGGAAGCTCCAAAAATGTGGCCAAGTGGGAGTGCCTGCACCTGTCCTGCAAGTCCTAGCTTCTCGAATAAAAGGACTGACGGTTCCGTTTGTCTTGCTTGCTATATTCTTTTTAAAAAATTCAGACTCATGAGGCTTCATAAGAAATGCTGAAGATAAGAGAAAATCCCACAAGCTGCGCACATCTACAAGTGGAAATTAATTTGTTATATGTTCAAAATGTGGCAAACTCTTCTCTGCCAGAGTAGGTCTCATACTCATACTCAAATTGACCAGAGTAGAAGCTACAAATCCCAGAGATGCCAACCACAGAAAACCGCAATGAGTATTGGGAAATATGAAAATGTGTATTTTATGGGGAAAATGTGTATTCCCCACAACCGACCGACCAACCAACTAGTAATAGTAAAATGGGGGGGTCCAGCAATATTTCCTGAAAAAAAAAAAAAAATACTAGCTCACCAGCTCGAAAAAGGGAGCACACACGCGTACAATATACATCATGTATCCAGTCAACAATATTTCAGTGTTCAGAGTGGTACTGGGGTCTTGTTTGCCTTAAATATTTCAGTCTATTATACCGGTAATATTTTCCTCTCATTATTATGTAAAAAATAAATCCTGCTTTGAGCGTTCGGAAGGGTCTAGAACAAAAATTTCGACTATCAAGAACCAGTCTGGGTGTCATGGTTCATATTATGAACTGACAGACTCAAATTATTGCTCAAACTCAGAGAAAAGCGATAACTTGAATGGCTCAAGTAGACCCACGCACTGTGAGAGTTGTAACAACTGTGGTAGGGCAAGATGCAGTGACACTGAAAATCTACCAGTCTTGAACAGATTCCAGGATGCATATTTTTTCATGAAAAGTCGTATTCGCGTATTTTCGGCAAAAAATCGTACTAAAATACGTAAAATCATACTGGTTGGCATCTCTGAAATCCCCTTAATCGATTTTTCTTAGGGCTTTAAAAAGAAATTATTCTCCTCTCTGAAGATGCATTGGTCATATCAGACATTGACAGACAAAAAAGTGCTCTTACACTGCCATTTTGCCCAATAGTCTCCTCAAAGAGCATCCTGAACTCTTCCAAGTTACCAGGTCAGTCAAGACTTGTTTCGATACTTCAGTCTTCGGTCTCACACTGAAGAGTAGAGTCTGGGCAAGCACAAGTCTCCAACGTATCACGCCAAACAAGGCTGACCGAGTGACCGTCTTCAGCTGGAGTATCTTGAACTTAATGGCGTGAGCATTTGCAGCACCGGGTTCTCATTCTGAAAGGACAAAAGTTTGACAATAAAATGACAGGGATATTTTATTAAATCACCACTTGACTAGTTCAGTTTTCTCTACTTTACAACAGATTAAAAAGTATACAAATATTACAAAGCAAATAGCAAAGATTAGATTCTCGAATGGGATTAGATCTAGATCTAGATCTAATCTAGATCTTTATTTATCAGAAGTGGTTTTATTCACACCGGGTGTGCACATATATATATATATAAGAATTAATTTTATTCACACCGTGTCTGCGAATAAGAAATGGAAGAGGCTAGCCCTGCTTAATGACGGCTAGACTGGCAGTCTAGCCGTACTTATTCTAAATATGATGGCAAGGCGACTGACCATTAAAAAAAAATAGGCCTACTGAATTGTAAAAATATAAATTTTTAGTGTGCAGTACCTTAAAGTATTTGTATTTGAGACGAAACCAGGTGCCTTAATGACTGTGCAAGTATTTTAAATCTCCTGTTTTCTAATGTTAATCGGGCTTAAGATAAGTACGGCTAGACTGGCAGTCTAGCCGTACTTTTAAGTACGGGTAGACAGTCAGGCTAGCCGTACTTAAGGACGGCTAGACTGTCAGGCTAGCCGTACTTAATATTGATGGCTGAATTGTAAATGAATTTTTTAGTTTGCAATGCCTAAAGTATTTGTATTTCAGACAAAACCAAAAGGTGCCTTACTGACTTGCATGTTATTTGAACCTGAATAATTACTAGATCTAGATCTAGATCTAATGAGACCTGTGTACTTAACAGGCTTGAGTCGATAGGGCCAAACCTAGATCTAAGTACGGCTAGCCACTTCGATAAGAAATTATAATTCTATTCGCACAGGGTCAAGCCAACCTGCGCGCTGCGAATGCTGCGCGAGACTGGCAATTTATGGCGCGAGGAGTCCGTGAGACTAGGCGGTCTTGGATAAGCATACCTGTGTAGCATTTTCAAAACAGAGACAGAGAACCTTGCCAGTAGCATTCCGTTCGTTGGCCCCGAGGCTATTGCATCCATCGCAAATCTGAAATCACCCTGTGCAAATAATATTTCATAGTATTCAAACAACCTGTGCGAATATACATCTAGATGGGGGCTCTCGTGGCCTAGAAGTTAAGGTGTTGGCCTCTCATTCAAAGGTCCCGGGTTCGATTCCGGGTAGCAACCAAAAAATTTTCTTCTCTAAAATTGTCTCCTTTCACATCCTTTCCTGATCTCTAACAATGTTCTGTTGTCTGCTTTCATTTCCACTTTCTGCCCCCACCCCCTCACCTCCTTTGCCCCCTCCTCTCGGCTCCTGACTCTTTCTGCAGCCTTTCTACTGCTACTCCTTGGCTCCTCCTCACTGCTGTCTTTCTGCCACACCCCTAATCTTCTGGTAGGAAAGATCTACACCTAGCTTTCTCGGACAAGGGCGAAAAATCTCGGAGGGCCCGTGTGCAAGTTGCGCACGTTAAAGATCCGGTGCTTTTTTGGTAGTTCCCACCCCCCTTATTTGAGCCTGACCTACTTCTAGATCTAGATCTATACGTTTGATTCGCGGTGAGCTAAGATATCAAACCTAACAACAGCAAAACATTAAATTGTGGTAAAATTCAGGGGGGCATGCCCCCCTGGAACCCCCCTTCCTATTTTTGTTAGGTCAGGGCCCCTGCCCCTACTCTTGGGGCCAAAACCTGTGAATAACAATTGCGGGGTGGGAACTACCGAAAAAGCGCCAAAGATCCTTTGGTGGTCTAAAATCGATAAGAGTAGGCTTCGGCCGCCACTCGGGCAAAATTCAAAATTTCCTACCAACGAAAAAGTATTAGGTGTGTCCCGCGCGCTCATATATATATATATGACCTTATGCCTTATGATGCAGTTGCGAGCGCCGTAAAACCCTCTATACTAAAGAAACAAACAATACATCTAGATCTAGATCTAGAAAAAATCTAAATTTTAGATCTCTATGTAAGAAAGTCAAAGAGAGGAGTGAACTATTTTGTATAAAATGATCTTTGTCCTTACGCCAAGAGGGGAAAAAAATGAAGAAATTGCCGGTGGTAGGCCCAACTTCCATCCTCCTTTTGAAACGCCCAGTGCCAATAACATTTTGAAATTCTAGATCTAGATCTAGATCTAGATATATAGATCTAAATCTAGATCTAGATCTAGATTAGTCTAGATCTAGATCTAGTATTCCCACACCTTGTCACGCCTTGTGCAAATAAAATTTCAGGTGATTTGTAGACTCTAGTTTCTATTTAATAAGTCCAAAGCCTTACCCAGAGACTCTGGAGTGTCTATCTCTCTCCTGATCAGCATGTTTCTAGATTCTAGAAGCTGTCACAAAACAACCTTGGATCTACCTAGATCTAGATCTCTAGATCTAGATATCTAGGCCATGATCGAAAATTTTCCGTGGAAACAGTGATAATATTAGGCCTAATTGACAGTGTATTGACAACTCCTCGACAACAAGAGGTGCCTCTTTGCCTTTCCCGCCGCCATCTTCGAAAAGAGGAAGTTGCCAGCTGCCAGCTGCCAGTGTGCCAGTTGCAAGGAGTTTAGAACTACTTTTAATCTCCTTGGCCAGTTGCCAGTTGCCAATCAGTCAATCAGTGCCGCAGGCTACGCCCACTCAATGTGGAGCCAAACGACCGGCAAATTCTGAGCCAAATAAAATTAGTAGATCTATTGGAACCAAGGAGATTAAAAGTAAAGGAGGATGCTCTGTGGGCGGCACCGCACGCCTAATAGGAGCCCTCTCTCGCAGCGGAACTATGGTCTACCTGCGCTGCACGACTGCCCGACTCACGCACTGAAATCTAAATAAGAAAGAAGGTTTTATTCCGAGGTTCGTGTAGTCAGTTAGTAAAAAATGCCTTCAACCTGTGTTGTGTGTAAGTGTAAGAATCGATATGATGCTACAGAGGACAGAAGTTTCCATAGGTGTTGTTTTCCGTTCCAAAAAAATGTGAATGAAATTGTTTTTATGCCCCCAGCGACACAACTTAGATCATTAACATTTATTAGAGGCTGGCTTCAGCGCTACCTGCCAAGGCCAACCCGGGCTGAAAGGGATACACTGTAACAACACCCCAGAAGACAGACCGAGATACTTGATTTTTTAAAAAAATATTCGTATTCTTGTGTGTGTGTGTGTGTGTGTGTGTGTGTGTGTGTGTGTGTGTGTGTGTGTGTGTGAGCGTGTATCTATCTATCTATCTATCTATCTATCTCTCTCTCTCTCTCTCTATATATATATATATATATATATATATATATATATATATATATATATATATATATATATAATATTATATATATACATATTATACATTTTAATTAAAGTATAATATATTGCTTTCCATTGTGTGTGCAAATTAGATGCTATGCGCTAGAGACATTTATTTTGACCGGAAAAAATCTGGAGTCTAGGTTTCTATGTATCTTGTTTTCATATATTTACTAATCATATAACACACCTTAGCGTATTGAGATCAGTCAGTCAGATTTGTTTTACGTTTTAATGCCCATTCATCTCCTAATAACTATAAGACTACTCGCTGTTATCTAATTAATGTAGATATCGAGAGGCTCCATTAAAATATGAAATCAATACCCAAAACAATAATGATGAATATCTTCTATGTTAAAGAAACACCAAACCATATCAGATGAGGGGAGGGGGTAGGGTGGGTGGATAAGAGTTTGAGTCTTGTTTGATAGAACTATACTCGGTTTAGATCTAAATCTATTGTTGTAGTCTTCACCCAAGATCCCACAATTTATCATTCCCGTTCACTTAAGATTCCGCTGTTAAAAAATGAACCTAACAAAGCAACAACAAATTTTACTACGCCAGTCATCCCTAAGATAAATTACCTCCCTCTGAAGTGTGAATGGACTAAAAACGCTGCTTTCCCTAGTGTACTTTACTGAACAAAAAAACCCTTCAAAGGACATCCACGCTCATGCATGGGATCACATCTCCGCTTTAAATCTCGATGCGAGGCTCAAGTTTGCTCCAGACGCAAGGATTTTACGACAAAGGGATCACGCCCAGGTGTGAACCCCTCATCGACGCCTTTGATTTTGCCGAACATCGAACTCGCAATAAGAGCCTACCGCCTGAGCTTACAGCCAATGCATGATTCGTTAGGTAGAACCAACAAGGCCGCCTCATACCCATGTCCATCAAATTATCAGGGAGGCATGTAGAATAATATTATGTCAACATGATTGTCCACCATCATGAACGGCTGCTGAATGATCGCTTCATCAATGACAGAGTAACGCAACGACACAAGCTAACAAAGGCTGTACTATTCCTACACCAATAATAGTAAGTTTTGATCTCAGTCGAAAAGTCCAAAGGTGCTGTTATCTCTCTTTTTTAATATTTGAAATTATTGTGCGCTCCACTTTGAGAAAAACAGGAAACAAAGTTACTGTAATCAATAATAGGCCTATTATTATTTATAGACCAAGACATAATACTGTTAGCAATCAGATAAAGCTGGCATCGACCCTCTTTTGTGTTCGCTGTTCCTTACACATATAGCTAGTTATGGCACACGCCTAGAATCATGCAGTCATATCTTAAATTCAGTTTAAAAAATACATTTTTCACAATTTCTTATTGTAATTAAATGTTTTGGGCGTCTTGAAAGATTATCTTTACAATTTGGTATGTTTGATAATTTTATGATACTTAGATAAGTTTTCTTCTTATTTTGCCAATCTTCTTAATTTTAAAACTAGCTATATACGGTAAAACTCTTAAATAATTGAACAGTCCCTAGGCTTTCTCAGTTACCTAGATCAGTCCGTATCACACACAGAATTTAATTTTTTTCTACCTGTCATTCTATCCGTCATCCCGTCAGTTGATCACAATCTGTCTCTCTCTGTTTCTCTCTGTCTCTCTCTGTCTCTCTCTGTCTGTCTCTGTGTGTGTCTCTGTCTCTGTCTCTGTCTGTCTGTCTCTCTCTCTCTCTCTCTCTCTCTCTCTCTCTCTCTCTCTCTCTCTCTCTCTGTTTTTTATTATTTAATTTTTCCCATTCTCCTTCGTCACTTCCCAAGGCCCGCCCCCTCTTTCATCCCAGCTCCATCCCCTCTTCCTTGAGTGCATTCCCCCACCCCGCCCGACCCCACAACGTGGCCCAGCCCTATAAGATTCCATAAAAAGAAACACCGCAGTTCGTGATTTAGACCATAGTTGGCTGCCATATTTTATCCCCACCGCGGCGTACTGCTCGTGGCGCTGCTAAGAGAGAGAGAGGAGGCTCCATTAGTTCTAAGTTCCTTGATTGGAACCAAATTGATTTATATGCTCTCTTCGGGAGAATAAGTGGTCCCGTCGTAACTCCATAGAAATGTATACATTATATTATATATAGCTCACATTCATAATATATTATGATTGTATTTCTTTACCTATCATTCTGTCCTACTAATAGGGGAATTTATTTTTTCTTTAATATTTGAATGTTTTAATATGTGTTTAGTTTGGTTTTCTTTTTCGTAAGCACTTTTCAACTTGAACATTTAACGTTGATAATTGCACAACTAGCTGCCTCTTTATACCGAATGATCCAAAAAAACAAACTTTTAGGTTCTGCTCTGACAGTAACTATTTTCGTCGGGTTAAAATTGAGCTTGCCACACCACTGAACTGATAAACAATAGCTGTGAGATTTGGCATCAGAGTATGCATGGTATCAAAATCAGAAGAGATGAAAGTTAAGGTCAAGGAGTTTAAATACATGTACGGCCTAGGCCTATCTTGACAGCATTTTCCCTGAAAACGAGTCTATAGATAGTGAAAGAGATATAAACTCAAAAAGTCAACCCCGTCACGTTACTATAACAGCTCGCACCCCTTCGATCTCATCCAAATATATCCGTAGGGTGTACCTAATATCTTTGATATATCCATGAACTCAAAGAGACAGCTTAATCACTTCAATATTTATAGGCCTACCAACATGTTACTACCAGTTCCAGGCGTGGACATAAAACCATGAAAACAAAAAAAATTAACTCCATGGAAGGTGCAATTCGCCATTTAACACTTTGCCCCCACGGGAAGCCGATCCCCACATTGGTGGCGAATTGCACCTTCGTGACCCATAGAGTACATGTGGGTCTTTTAGTTGATTCAATGATTGTGTACAGATTTGATTATGTGTCCGTGTGGACTGCGGAGCGTCGAAGAGGGAGGGGGGTTGGGGGTGGATGCACTTTAGTGTTGATGCAAGTCCAGCATGTGGCTTTTAACCGTGGACTGGCACATCGTCAAATGCTTGGTGATGAGACTTAAAATGATTGCATGAAAAGTATATAGGCACAAGGCGGTGGATATACCCCAGATCTAGGCTATTTAATGCACCTTCTTTTCCCAAACAATGGTAACTTTGATTATTCGATAACGACTAGTTGTAAGCGCACAGAGCATAATGTAGACTGCAGAACATGAATGTGTGCTTTATACAGTGAGTGTCGCATTCAACGAGGTCACATTCACCGAGAAGTCGGCTCCAACGAGGTAATCCTTAATCCCAGATTTTTTCCTCTATATCTATTTGTAAATGTACGTCAGCTCCAACGAGGTTGCAAACAGACCGAAGTCGCTTTCAACGAGGTCGCGATAACCAGATGAAAGCAATTAGCGGCCCAAAAAGCGAAGAATTTTTATCCTTTCTCCCCATCTCACGGGAAGCACAAGGCACCTCCTCGATTCCTAACTCATCGTATTGCTAGATCTAATGTGTCTCCTAATGTTGGCCCCAAAGCCAAGAGGATGGGCGAGGGTTAGCCTACGGTAGGGATGGGAGGGGGTGGGTGGGAACACGATGCGGTCTGTGTGAAACTGGATGAATTCTGGATGGGTAGGTCTAGATCGAGACATTTTTTTTTTTTTCAATTTTCTTTTCTTCCCCTGATCAGAAAATCCAAGCTCCTGCCTTTGCTTTAGGTAGATCTAGGCCTAGATGTGAAAGGGTATGTTTCCACACGAGAAGTGTTCCGGAAAAAAAATACTTTAAAATCCAGAAATGACGGTCAGAACACAGCTTAAATACGCGCACACTGATGCTGTTTGAGATTTTTGTCATCAGGGGGACAACTGTTTTAATTACTGGTATTGGTACATCGTTTAATATAATAAGTTGTCTCTTTTTCTTTCTTTAACCTTAGTCACGTTCAACGAGAGGTAGGATCCAACGAGGACAACAAGCCGGTTACGGCAACCTCGCTGAATGCGACACCCACTGTATACTATGAACACGGGCCACCAAACTAAATGCAAAGAAAGAAATAATCAACAAAAGTCCAGGTTTGTCAAGAAGCAGCAAC